ATCATTGGCTGTGCGCCGTACTGCGACATCATTGGCTGTGCGCCGTACTGCGACATCATTGGCTGTGCGCCGTACTGTGACAGGTTAGCCTGTGACGCCTGCCCGCGAAGATTTGAGTCTGAGCTCTTGTGGCCCAGCGGATTGGCGTCTCTGCAGTATTTGCATGCTTGCGAGCCTTCGTGGAAGTTACGCGGAGATTGCTACCTCGAAGGGAGACCACGAACGTGCGAGTGAGGCTTATTGTTGTATCCACTCTTGTCCGAGTGACGTGAGCCCGTCTCCCAAGCCTCTGCTTCATATTCTGCAAAACCAGTCAAAATACGGATGGTTCATAGCATCAGCGTGGACAACGTACCGCTGGACTTCTTGAGCGGGATCATTGAGTCGTCAAATTTCTCATCGCCATTCATGATGACCTTCTTGTTGCTGCCTTCACCGATGACCAGACGAGGATTGCCCCAAGGGCGGGAAGAAACTGTACACCGGGTATCTACGTGAGAGCAGAGGTTAGACAGTAGATTGAGGACCGACGTAATTGTCGACACGAAAGCACTAACCTGCAGACCGTATACGGCAGCAATCATGACGATAGAAATGAGCGGGAAGGCAGCTTTGCCGGTAGCGACAACGATAATCAAGTAGAACAGCTGAAGACGAGGTCAGAATTATGTGCTACGAAGTCAACGCGAAGACGTACGTAGACTACTGTTGCGGGCAGGATCTACAGAAATGTTAGCATTGGAACTGTGAAAACAAGCGCAAGACATACTAAAGTACCCAAGAGATCAATGAAGACGAGGAAGGGCATTGAGAAGCAGCAGAAACCGATCATCTCGGGAAGGAAGACGAGCTCGCAAAGGTTGTGCACAGTTGAGTTGATCCATCGCCGACGCTGAGAGAACAGCACGCGCCAAGACTCGTGTGCAATCATGCGCGCAATCGCAGCGGAAGTGAACTTCGTCCGGAACGTTGGGAAGTGTTTCATGAGCAACGTCGTCAAGAAACGGTCTTCACCGAGGGAGAGCAGGTTCTTCTTATGCAGTGTGTCGACGTTGGGTTCCGAGTACTCTTCGATGATACGGTTGGAGATGATGATGGGGCGACCTTTGTCCGCTGTCCGGATTCGGTACATCGAAAAACAACCAGGTAAACAAGACACAGAGCCGAAAAGCCACTCGAATGCCTTAGCCATGTGGTGAGAGATGTAGTACTCGTAGACCTAAGTTTCGATCTTATCAGCCGTATCACGGAAAGCACACCGCACACAACGAACCTGAATCATTGTCCACCACGAACCATCCTCATTGTCAAGTCGTGTTTCTCCACAGATACCGATAATACTTGAGTCATCAGCAACGGCGGCGACTAGCCTGTTTAGCGATTCGGGAGTCACAGCCTGCAAGTCACCAATTCAGTTGAGACCACAGAAACAACGAAACCTGAGCGACTGACTGTATCGGCATCGACCGTAAAGATGTACTCATAGAAGGCAGGATCAATTCCAATGACATTGCGCATCTGGTGGTAAACTTCTAGTTCCATCGGAGACATTGGCGCGTCGAGGTGAACTCGGCTGAGGTACTGCATCATGAGGATCTGACTATCACGCTTTTCGCGGTTGCCGGGCTTCGTGCGCTCCGTAGGCTTACCAATCATCACGACGACAGTATAACTACAACGAATGTTACATAAGTTTGCGGTAAGACAGGCCTGCAGCTAGACTTACAGTACGATATGGCCCTCAATCTCAAACAGCCGGAATACAGCGTCCGCCTTGAGCTGCATGCCTCCCAAATGGCGGCTCGTACAGCAAGCCACAGTGATCGAAGGCGGAGAGTGCGCCTGGGCCTTATTCACGCTCTTATCAGCTGTAGGCCGCCGAAGTGATCGCCTGCGATCTAGCAGAGGTCTCATACCAGAGTCCGCGCCCCTCTCCGTGCACGTGCTGACGAAGGCACGTCTTCGTGTGGACAAAGTCACCAGGTTGTCGAGCGACGCCTCCACCCGGGGCCTGTGGATCAAGCATGCGGCTGCAGATGCATCTGGTTCAGCAAAGAGGTCCCAGGAATGGGCGAGACTATCCGTGTTTACCTTGCTCGATTACATTCTGCTCCACCGATGCCGTGACTACTGCTTCGTGAATTCTCTCCGTGCAATTCAATAGGCCCGCTGATTGACCGCCTTTTTTGGTGAGCTGATTATATTTACGTCCGCATAGAAGCCACTTACTACATGTATGTTTACAACGCCAATGCCACACAGAGTGCATTCATCTTCTCGCAAGTCTTGAGATCGCGCTACTGCAGCTTGCAATCCTGAACGTCTTGAGCGTTCCGATGGCGCTCGTGGTGGAGGTCGTCGTTATTGTCATCTGGGTGCTGATCTTCGTCCTTCGAGCCATCGCGTGGCTCGGTCACTTGCTCGCCTGATAAGTGCGCCATGTCTGAAACAACCTATCAGGACGGCTCGTTCGATAAAAGGACACACTTACTATTACTAGTCAGTGGCAAGATGCCACGGACCTTGCGCAAGTGAGCTGCGCCGAAACCTAGCTTTTGACTGGCTTGTTCTAAGCCCAAACCGCCAAGCTCAGACTCATGAGTCGCTCCTGCAGCAGCCGGAACACCGGGTCGTGCGGCTATAGCATATGATCGACTGCGGCGCGCAGCCGCTCCTCCTCCTCTTGTGCATCTACATTTGCACCGCCGAGCTGACGACACACGCGTACGACCTAGTCTGCAAGGTTCACAAGCTTTGTGCCAGCAGCACCAGGATCCAAGTTAATCTCCGCTTTCAGGAGCATCCGAGAGACTTGTGACATAAATGTGCGCCCATCGCCGTCGCCGGCTGCCTCTGAGTTGAGGCTTTCTGCATAGACGGACGGCAGGCGGACGAAGGATGTGGTGATGA